CTAGCTATAGATCCTAAAATTTTAAAGCATATAGATAAGTTTGCATTAAAAAAACCTTGTGATTTTTTTGGTGGCCTGGTATTAAAAATGAGATTGTTGAATTTGTCTCTCAATGTCTCATTTACCAATAGATCAAGGCAGAATATCAGAGACTCAACGGCTTTCTACAGGGTCTCCCCATCCTATAATGAAAATGGGAGCATATGACCATGGACTTTATCATAGGTGTGTCGAGAAGTAATTCATATAGTAATGCTATTTGGGTCATTATGGATAAATTGACCAAATTTTCCCATTTTAATGCAATCAAGACTATTGATTCAACTAGCAAGTTAGCTAGGTTGTATGTTGAGAAGATTGTCAAACACCATGGTGTCCCAGCTTATACTATTTCAAACAATTATCCTTGTTTTACTTCTCAATTTTTAGAAAGTTTCCTAGAGGTTGTTGACTCTAGCCTTTATTTCAACACTACTTACTATTCACAAACTGATGGAATGTTTGAACGAACCATTAAGACACTAGATGACATGTTGTTTGTTGGTGTATTGAATTTTGGAGTTAGTTGAGATCAACATCTCCCCTTTACAAAGTTTACTTACAACAACAAGTATCACTTCAATATTAGTATGGCTCCATATGAAGCTCTCTATAAACAACTCTGTCGATCCCCTACTTATTGGAATAAAGTTAGAAAAAAAGTCTAATCAAAACAGATTATGTCCAAAAGACTGTTGACAAAGTTGCCATCATTCGTAGAAATCTCATTACCACTTAGAGTTGCCAAAAGAGTTATGTTAACAACAGAATGAGAGCTTTAAAATTTCTTGTTGGTGACTACGTTTTTCTTAAGGTTTTTCAATACAAGAGAAAAATGTGATATGGGAAGAGATGAAAGTTGAGTCATCGCTTTGTTGGACCTTTTGAAATTTTGGAGCATGTAGGCCTCATGACATAACATATTACTTTATCCCATAAATTCTCCAACCTACATGATATTTTTTATGTCTTCATGTTTAAGAGGTATCACCACGATCTTTCTCACATCATCCTGCATCAATAAATCATAGTCTGTTCGGACATGCCTTATACATAATACCCTATCGAGACCCTTGATTGAGTGGAGAAGGTTTTGAGGAATAGGAGGATTTCAATGGTCAAGGTTTTATGTCAACATCGCACTCCTAAGGAGGCTATGTGGGAATTGAAAGACAAAATACGGGACAAGTATCCCGAGTTATTTTAAATTTCAAATTTGGAGGACCAAATTTTTGTAAGGTGGGGACGATATAACACCTCGAAATCTCTATATTCAAATGTCGTGTTTTTAAATTCATAGTTTTGTAACTTACGATGTTTTATCATTAACTTTAATTTTATCGACATTTAAAATAATATGCATGATTTTATTTGCATTTTAATTTTATTTATTTTTACACAAAGTAATTGAAAATTTTCAAAAATGAATAAAATAAAGCAAAAAATGGAAAATCAAAGGAAAAAACCCCCGACCTTACGAGAATGGTCGTGTGCCATGCCCGCGTACCAACTGCACAGGCAGGGCAATCACATCACAGATGTGACTACATACATGCATGTTTGTGCCTAACTAATGGCTGTCACATCACTGACAAGACAATGCATGTGCAAGTTTGTGCACATGCCTGCACACACGCGTAAGCTGTCGTGTCAAGCTGCACACGCCTGTGCATGCTTGCGTGTGCTTGCGCGTGCTTGCGTGTTACGCAAGTTGTCCCATCATATTGCAACGCACAGCTTCGTACATACATGGTCACCTGGGTGACTGATTGTCCATCTGTCCGTCACTTCTGCCTAGCTGGGTATGTATGGTCGCCACGTTACATGCATGCATGCCACATAAGGGTGGTCGGTCGACCATTTAGTCGATCGACGACCATTGTTGGCATGTTCGATCTGATAGTCCTCATTTTTCCAAAAAGTCTATTTAAAGGCTCTTTTTCCTCCCTTCTCTTCAAAAAATTTCTACTTCTTCATTTTCTAGAGAGAATTTGAGAAAAATTGTGAGAGAATTAAGGGAAACCACAAGTTCGATTTCCTTCGTATGATTGACGAATCACCGAGCAATCTTTCATTCTTTTCTTATTAAGATTTCAAAAAGTTTAAAGGTTTTAGTAAGGGATTTCTTAATATTTTCTCGTACAGTTCTAAACTAATTTATAGATAATTAAATTATGACTATCAAATTATTTTTAATGCATAATATTTAATATTGTTATTAATCGTAAATTATTGATTATTTTATAAAATTGGATATATGTTATAGATTTTTTTAAAAATAAAAATGCATGTTTAGATCAAACTTCGAAAATGACTGATGTATATGTGTAGATTTGGCTCTCTGCCTTGCTTTTAAGTGATAGTGGAGAAGGTTATCCAATTGATTCACAACTAGAGAAGGTGGCCTGTTGGTGAAGTCCGAGTGTAAAGGCCTCAATAGGCTAGAATAAGTTATTGGATCCATACTGGGTTTTAATTGTACGATTATATGTGAATCTAAAGCAGTAAAGAAAAAGAGAAAAGAATTTAAAATTCGTTTAATTGTTATCACTTAGGAATATCTAAATTTGACTTAATTAACCATTAGTGACCACTCTCTGTGAATGATACCGGCATTCCCTCTGATAAGAGTAGATTCATGATTGATTATTGAGGCCACAATGGCGAAGTACAATCATAGTCATTACTCTTCACTTGATTATAGGGAGGCACAGTGGCAAAGTACGACCGTGGTCATTAATTTCCTCTTTAAATTATCTGATATTAAAATTGATCTATTTGCCCATTTACAGTTTAGTTGGGGATCCCTTATGTCCTCAGCTGATATAAGTTAAAATGGTTTCGTGCGAAAATCTGTAAAATCTATAAAAACTATCATATTATTTTTTGAGATTATTGATTGATGTTTATGCATGACTACCATTGTTTAACTATCTCCCTAATAAAATGATTTGTTTGCCCTTATGTGTTTCCTATGTGCTTTTTCATTCTGTCATGCTATATGGAACTATGTATGTTTTGTATTTTTTTATTTTTGCTTTTATTTTATTATTATTGGTTTAT